CAGTAATTCACTTTTGCTTTTAATTCCCTTGCCTTTGGGGATGTGTCGAGGAAGAGATTGCTACGGCTGAGGTCAGAGAGGTCTTTTCCTGCTTTCTCCTCTAAGGTTTTGATGGTTTCCTGTCTCACATTCAGGTCCTTTATCCATTTTGAGTTTATTTTTGTGAATGGTGTGAGAAAGTGGTCTAGTTTCAACCTTCTGCATGTTGCTGTCCAGTTCTCCCAGCACCATTTGTTAAAGAGACTGTCTTTTTTCCATTGGATGTTCTTTCCTGCTTTGTCAAAGATGAGTTGGCCATACGTTTGTGGGTCTAGTTCTGGGGTTTCTATTCTATTCCATTGGTCTATGTGTCTGTTTTTGTGCCAACAATTAGTTTTTATAATGAGGCCACCAGTTTTTAAAGTTTTTGAAAAATAGAGTCTTGCTTCAGGGGAAAATACTATACTCCTCTTGTTTTAGTATTTGTTATTTTAGGGAATTGTAAAGATTTTTGTTATTCAACTGCTCTTAAATGTAGTAGCAGCCTTACAGATATTTTAATACTCATATGAAAGTTATTTTATATTTTTGAACTTTTACCCAGCAGTGACTTTATTTTATTTTTATTATTACTATTATTATTTTGTTAATGTTTATTTTTGAGAGAGAGAGAGTGAGCGAGCATGAATGGGGAGGGGTAGAGAGATAGGGAGACAGAGGATCTGAAACCGGCTCTGTGCTGACAGCAGTGAGCCTGATGTGGGGCTCAAACCCATGAACTGTGGGATCACGACCTGAGCCAAAGTCAGATGCTCAGCTGACTGAGCCACCCAGGTGCCCCTACTCAGCAGTTACTTTAAAAAAAAAATCTCTATTTTTCCAGTCATCTTTTGTCTTTTATCATCTCTGCTTCAGGATAACCTCTCAAATATTTAGTCACCACTTACCAAGTCAGACTAGTTATAATGTAGGGATATAAAGAATATTAAATCTAGCTTTATGGGATAGTAAATGGAAAATAATCTAAAATACTTTTAAAAATAGAACATGTACTCAAGAGAACAGATTTTACACAATAATTCAGTGAGAATTTCCCAAATATATAAAAAGGGAACATTCTTACAGATGAATATTTTGTAAGACTTCATGGAGGAGGAGCATGACTTAGAAGAATGAGTAGAATTTAGATAAATGGAGATGAGCAGGAAAGGGTTTCTAAAAAACAATATTCATTAAAAGTCAAATTGGAATAAAATTTCTACTTTGCTATTAATTAAGCCTTCCTTTTTTTTTTAAATGTTTATTTTATTTTGAGAGAGTGAGAGAACACATGAGAGCAGGGGAGAAGCAGAGAGAGGAGAGAGAATCCCAAGCAGGCTCCATGTTGTCAGCACAGAGCCTGATGTGGGGCTTGAGTCTGATGTGGGGCTCGATCCCATGAATTGCAAAACCATGGCCTGAGCTGAAATCAAGAGTCGGACACTTAACTGACTGAGCCACCCAGACGCTCCTTTATTAAGCCTTTCTGAGGTTCTGTTTTTTTCATTAATAAAATGGGGATGATACCTACTTTATGCGTGGTTATGAAGGTTAAACGTATGTGAAGCAACTAGTAAAATTACAGTACTCAAGATAACAGCTAGTATCATTGATGGTAATAACAGAATGGAAGAAACCTCAAGAACAAATGTAACAGGCATGTATATTAGTTTGCCATGGCTGCCATAACCAAGTACCATAGATTGGGTGGTTTAAACAAACAGAAATTTATTTTATCACAATTCTAAGGGCTAAAAGTCCAAGATCAGTGTGTTGGCAGGATTGGTTTTCTCTGAGGCCTCTGTCTTTGGCTTGTAAAGATGGCCGTCTTCTCCCTGTGTCTTCACCTGGTCTTCCTTTTGGGTGAATCTGTGTCTATATTTCCTCTTCTTATAAGTACATTAGTCATTGGGTTAGAGCCCATGTCTAATTTCTTCATTTTGACTTAATTACTTCTTTAAAGACCCTATTTACATACACAGTAACATTTAAAAATACTGAGGATTAGGACCTCAACATAAGAATTTGGAGGGGGTACAATATAAGAATTATAGGGTTTAGCCCATAACAGCATATTTGGTACAGTTTGACCAAAGTGAAGAGCTTTAGAGGTATTTTGAAGGATAAGGCTAAAAATAAGATTAGAGCTCAGATTATGGATGGTCTTACTTAAATGCCAGTAAGAATATGGAATTTGTAATAGGCAGTAGTTGGCCACTAGTTCATTCATGTTCTCCCTCCCTTCCCCTCTCTCTCTCCCCCTCTCCCTCCCTCCCTCCCTGTCTCTCCCTCTTCCTCTCAGTGGGAGGGTGGCCTTACTAATAGAATTTAGAAAGATATTTAGTTAGTGTCTGATGCCTAAGGCTTTTGTTGTCAACAGGATAATATTTAGTGTCGTGAGGGCTATAGCCATTAGACTATAACACAAATACTAATTACATTTTACTAAGTGTGATGTGAAGGAACATATTGGTTATAGTGAGAGTGCTAAGTCAGGGAAAGTTTCCCCGAAGAAGTGACAATTAAGCTTGGGCTTGAAAAATGAACAGGAATTAACTGGATTTTAGGTTAACTTTTTATTAGAGATACTTTCTCAACGTAGATAAAAACAGAATAATATAATGTACTCTTGTATAGCCATCTTCCAACTTCAGCAGTGGCCACAATCAACATTTTGCCATTTTTATTTCATCCTTTCCCCCTGTCTTTCCAGATTCTAAATAGGACATCATTCTAAATAGGACTCATAAACTTTTAGTTATTCTTTAGAATTTCCTATATTTATATATGCTTTTGGTTGATTGTGTCTGCATGGTGTTATTTGACATGTCTTCCATCATCTGTATTTCCTGTAAACTTGTGGTTGGATTAAGAGATACATTGTCCAATAGAAATGTAATGTGAGGGGCTCCTGGGTGGCTCAGTTGGTTAAGCATCCAGTTTCGGCTCAGGTCTTGATCTTGCAGTTGGCGCTGTGTGCTGACAGCTCAGAGCCTGGAACCTGTTTGGATTCTGTGTCTCCCTCTCTCTGCCCCTCCCCCGCTCATGCTCTGTCTCTCAAAAATAAATAAATGTTAAAAAATATATATATAATGTGAACCATACATATAATTTTAAATTTCTGTGGCATTTGGGTGGCTCAATTTAATTTTAGCTCAGGTTATAAACCCAAGGTCATGGGATTGAGCCCCAAGCTGAGCTCTGCACTGAGCCTGGAGCCTGCTTAAGATTGTCTCTCTGCCCCTGTCCCCTGTTTCCGTGCGCTCACTCAAAAAAAAAAAAAAAAAAAATTGTAGTAGCTATAGTTAAAAAGTAAGTAATAGGGGAAATTAATTTTCATAATATATTTTTGTAACTTAAAATATCCAAAATGGTATTTCAACATGTAATTAAATTTTAAAAATTGTAATGATATATTTTACATTTTCCCCCCTATACCAAGGCTTTGAAGTCAGCATGTGTTTTATGTTTACAGCACATCTCAGTTTGGGTCAATCACATTTCAAGTGCTAAATTGTCACATGTAGGTAGTGGTTACTGAATTAAACAGTGCTGTTCTAGAGCTCGATTAGATTCAGGTTCAATTTTCTTGACAAGCAATGCCAAAAACACTACTTCCTATTACAACCCACATGCATATCTGGTTGTCCCATTTTTAGTGCTCCTAGGATTGATCAGTGTATTTAAATGTTGTCAGCTTCATTAATTCATTATAGTTTTCCCATCAGCCTTTCATGTAATTATTTTAATAGCTTTTGCTGATCGTTGCCTAGATCCATTAGAAGAAAAAAAAGACTTTTTGTTACTACTTGTCAAGAATAATTTAATTTATTTCTATTTTATTTAAGCATTTCTCAACTAATTAGTATGTCAAGGGGATGGTGTGAGGACCACAGCATGTGGAATGTCCTGAAGCATCAAAGAAAGAAAGAAAGGCTGGAGGGGAAAAGTGGCTCAAAAATCATGCCTGAAAATGGTGGGTGTGAGCCAAATCATGTAGGATCTTTTAGGACCATTGAAGGGTTTCAGTCCTTAAGAGTAATTGGAAGCCAGTGAAGGCTATTTAAGTAGGTAATAGGATAAGATTTGCATTTTTAATTTTTTTAAAGGTTTATTGCTGAGAGAGAGAGGGAGGGAGAGAGAGAGTGCACATGCGCTCAGAGAGAGGGGGAGACAGAGGACCCAAAGCAGGGCTCCGTGCTGACAGCAGAGAGCCTGATGCAGGTGTCAAACTCACAATCCGTGAGATCATGACCTGAACTGAAGTCAGACGTTCAACCTACTGAGCCACCCAGATGCCCCAGATTTGCATTTTTAAAAGATCAGTATTTAATTGTTTTTCCTTTGACTTCTATGTAGAGATTGAATTGGAGACATCCAAAGTATGGATCTGCTAGTTAGTTGGTTATCACATTGCTCCAAGTGATCAGTGGGAGTGACCTGGTTTACTTGAGGGTAGTGTGAATAGAAGAGTGAGGAGTGATTTTTTTTGGGGGGGGCGGGGTGGAGGTAGATTGAATAGAACTTGGTGATTGAATATAGGATGTCAGATAGAGGGAGGTGTCAAGAGCAACTTTGAGATTTTTGTCTTTGTCAACCAAGTAGATGGATGGTCATGCCTTTTATTGAGAAGGGAAATAGCAGAAAGAGGAAGGATCTATTTGTTAAGGAAACTTTGTTTTAAAGTGAGAGAGCCTTGAGTATGCTGACATAGCTAATACAGAGGGGAAATTGTCCTGAGAACACTGAAGGACTGGAACCCCAGGCTCATATGGTGGGTTTGGCCTTAGGTAAGAGGGACATATTCATTGTAAAAAAAAAAGGGGGGGGGAGGAGTAAATGGTAGCTGCAGAAAGTCATAGATTTTGTAGTGAGATAATAACAGTAATTCTCTTAATGATTTTCATTTTCTCTGTGATATAAGGTATATATAAGGTATAATGGAGGAGGGAACATGATAGGAGAGATTTAAAAAATTGGAAATAGTTGTAGAAAACATGGGTAAAGGGAAATTAAGTTGATTCCAGAAATTTAGAAGGGTTGGTAGTCACAGATGAAAGTATAAGTGGTTCTGATCAGCCTAGTTGTCGAATTCCCCCCTCCTCCTTTTAATTTGTGCTCAGTTACATTGTTGTAGATCCAGAGAAAGCAGGCAATTCATTCTTCCAGGGCTAAGTGATACTAGATGAGTTTAACAAAAAAGACAAAAGGACAACAGAATTGAGAGTGTTGATAAGAAAGTAATTGAAATGGTAGACATGGAATCAATGTTGAGTAAGAAGAGAAGTGAAGACAGGAGGGTATAGGTAGAATGGAAGAGGATATGAATGATTGTAGACTTGAACAGCCTTTCCTCCTGCCCCCCATGCTTGGTAGGAGTACTTAAATAAGGAAATCAGACAACGGTAATGGGCAGAGAGTAATATATATGTGTAAATTAGATTTGGGAGTCAGCTGTTTTGAATGTTAGCAAGAAAAGTCCCAGGAGTGCGTGACTGTGTGGAAGTTGGTGACTGAGGGGTATAGAACATAGATCATTGAAATTTAAGGCATTAAGAACTCATTAAAGTGTTGGATGGTTTGTACTTATGGATGTTGAAGAATGATCATGGTAGGAGCTAGAGAAGAGAAGACTTGGAATTAGGTGCCCTAGTCCTCAGTGAATGAAAGAGAGTGTCCCTGAAGTCAGTAGATGACTTACTGTCACTGAGCAGAAATGTTTACAGGCTGTTACAGGAGTTGTCTGGTGGCATTGCAGAGGAAGGACATTTGACCTTTGTCACTCAAGACTATGCAGAGTATGAGAGAAATTTCTATTTGAGAGCTGTAGGGCTAAAGATTCCTTATAGCAGATTCAGATTTCAGTGAAAAGATTAATGATACTTAAGTGTTTTATGGTTGAATTAGGCAGAAAGAGCTACGGTTACTAGAATATGGTTACTAAAAGCTTCTATAAACATGGATATATGTACAAGTTTAAAATAATATTTTGTGTGACATCTAGTTCCACTTTAAGTTTTGAATTTAATTGTGGCTTTGATTTTTTCAGGATTTTTAAAAAGTCGAGATCGTGCCTATACAAAATTCTACACCAACTTATCCAAAACACAGATTTTTATTCGTTTCATTGAAGAATGTAGTTTTGTAAGTGATAAAGATACTGGATTGGCATTTTTTGATGACTGCATAGAAAAGGTAAAAGTTTTTCCTGTATATAAGTTTTAAAAGAAAAACAGTTTGGATGCCTGTATAATCATCATTATTATTATTAGCTCAAATGATCTGAGGGAGATATTCTAGAGGTGTGTGTGTGTGTGTGTGTGTGTGTGTGTGTGCACGCGCACATGTGCAATTGTGTGCAGGTGTCCAATTCTAGGCTTAATATTAAGAATAATTTTCCTTTGTGATATTTAGTTTCCACCAGACATAGCTAATTCTTCTTGAATCTCACTTTGGTTTTATAACTAGTAAGTACTAAGACCATTTCACTGAACCTCCTAAATCTTACATTTTTATTTAAGTAAGATATAAGATTTAGTAGTTCATTAAGAAAGTTTAGGGTAATGTAAGTCTTGTGTTTTTTTTTTGTTTTAATAAAGTTGTTGCAGATTCTTTTGCTAAATGTTTTTTGTTTTAAGGAAGCATATTTGAAATATGTTAAATATCAAAGTTTTACTTACCCATCCTAAGGAGATTCAAGTTGATTCTTCACAGTGATGACTCCCATTTTTTTCCTCTCATTTTTAACCAGATTTTTGTTTTTGCTAAGTGGATCTTGGGGCTGATTTTATATGTAAACCGTATATCATGAAAAAATTTGAGAATGTATCTAAAAAAGGTAGAGTATTATATATGATATTACACTTTTTGTAGTCTTCCTTAGAGGACTTGAATGTTTTTTTTCCCATTCTATCAATGTGATCTGAAACTCCGGGGATAAGATTAAAACTATTCAGGGGCGCCTGGGTGGCGCAGTCGGTTAAGCGTCCGACTTCAGCCAGGTCACGATCTCGCGGTCCATGAGTTCGAGCCCCGCGTCGGGCTCTGGGC